TATCTAAAGGTTGTACGCGATGGATCGTATACCCATTCAATGGTAGCATTATTACACCGTAATCTCTAGCACGTAAAATTGTAGTGAAATGAAATATTGTGAAATAGTGAAAATAGTAAAAAAAAATAAAGATTTTTGTAGTGAATTTTTTTAAAAGAAGTTTTTTTTCTACTGTTGGGTTTACAGAATCAATAAAATGCTGAGGCCTTTTTACAACATTTCGTAACAACGTTTCGTTAACATTAAAGATGCATGTTGTAACAATATTATTCTCATCAACAATTTTTTTAAGAAGTTTGAAAAAGACTTAACCGTTTCTTTTATTGAATTCTTTTGTGCGCATCATGAACATTCTTGAGATTCTTCCAGTGAGATTATATCCTTATGACTAACTTTGAAAGTATAAAAACCTTCTTTCTTGCCATGTGGGATTCTTTATTAAAATTATGTGGTATTTGATTTTTCTAGAAGATTTCAAATCAACTAGCTCCCTATTCAATGCTGTTGGTAACACACTGCCTCAGCTTCTTCATTTACCTTGACATTGCTCCTCTTTAGGCGACTGAGTAATGGAAGCTTAGGTACTCCATACCTTAGCCTGCAGCATTCATTTAATCTTATGTCTCCATTACGAAATGTTTGAAGAGCCTAGCTCATATCGTCCTCATTCCAAGTCACATATTTTTCTTTGGGCATCTAAAACACACAAGAACGGTGTGTTTTATTTATTTATTTTTAAAAATAAGTAGGTCTGAAATACCCAATGGCATCTAAAGCTATATTGGTACAATATAGGCAACTCAGCGTGGTACATTATAGGAAACTTGCACTTTATGTAAATAAACCATGATTCCTAACCTAAAAATGGTCCGGCAAAGGAAAACAACTCAGTTTTATACACTTAAATAAATGCTTTTCTTAAATTTATAAACTTGCACGTACCTTTTACAGATACTGTAACCTTACGTATGGAACTAGAAAACTATACTGAAACACCATGAAATACAAAAAATTCGATGAAACAAAATCGACAAATGGGAACATTGTAAAACTTTAGCACTCAACTCTAGGTAGTAACTACATAGTTCCATTAAAAGATATAAGAGCGCTTTGGCTTCCTTGCTCTGGCTCTGGAGAAAGAAGAAGAATATCTTGGCTCCAGAACTTCGGAAAATGGCTTTTCTTGACCACTTCAGGACTATTTCGAGCTCCGGTCAATGCCGTAACGGATAGGCACCACAAGAAGAAGCGTGGTGTTAACTTTTGTAATTTGTATTTTGACGAGAGCTCCCGGTCGCTTCTATCTTTTGACATTCATCGTCAGTGAGTCGAAGTTTATGGAGAAGAGTGCATATCTGTTTAATATGTTCGTAACTCATGTAAAGAATTCAGTGAAGGCAGAACAGAAATTCACGATAAAGATCTGAGCAGAAATCCTTTCGTTTTAGACGAAATTGTCAAATATTGTTTGAAGATCAGAGGTTTACCAATAAAGACTGCTTTGCATATTTCTGAAACTTCTCACACAACCAATCCATAAGATGTATGCGCATTGGGTACCGCGACTGCTTAAATAAAATCGCAAACAAAAATGTGTCGGGTGTGCCCAGTAGTTTTGCAACAATGTAAAGACAACAAGAAAAATTTTGTGGACTTAATTGTTGTTTCATTGTACCATTCCATGGTAAAGTGCAACACCCAAACATGGCTTTAATTAGGAGAAATTACAAGTTTTTACCTGAATGGCGTCACTAATTTTGCCGAAGCCGAAGAAGGGTAAACAAATGCAGTCTGTTGGTTGAGACATGACAACTGTCTTTTGGGAGAGGAGGAGCCTACTGTTATTGGAATTTTTATCTAATGGAACAACAATTATTACCAACAGATATTGCGACACACTAAAAATACTGAGACCTACGATTCAGAACCACCGACTGGGACGATTGCCCAGTGGTGTGAGGTTTCTCCATTACAATGGTCGATCTTATGTCTCACATCAAACTGAACAACTGCTGAGAGATTTTGGCTAGACTGTTGTGCCCAACCCCCTCTAAGGTCCGGAGCTAGCACCAAGTTATTATCACTTATTTCCAAAATTAAAAAACACCCTGGGGGGTTTACGTTGAAGTACCAATAATGAAGTCAAAGAAGATGTAACTCGATTCCTTAAACGATTGGTGGTAGAATTCTATTACATGGGGATGGAAAAGTTAGAGCATCGTCTACAAAAGTATTATTGTTCTGAAGCTATTTTCTTGTGGCATTGTAAATTAATTACTATTAAACTGGGAATAAGCCACAATTAAAGATAAAAATACGTTTATTGACGTTTCAATTTCCACTTGGAAATCGTTCTCAAAATACAAACAGTAAATTAAACAAATTTTGTTTTTTGTTACATAGTGAAAAATTCTTTTAATAATTTAATTTTATCTGACTCATTTATATTGACAATTCAGACATACATTATGCATTTTAAAGTAGACGACTTTAAAATGATATTGCCAATATTGTTGAGTTGCGCTCCTGGGACGACTTTACTTATAAGATAGTTCATTCGATTACATGAAATCAACTTTAACTTGAGAATATCCGTCAGAAAAAAATCATAGCATGTAATTCGTTTTTAAAAAGACAAACACATGACATGATGACAGTAAAATTTTCCTGTTAGTGATTCCATAGTAAATTATGAGGGAAAACCAGGAAAAAAACCTCATAATACTATCCCGACATTGTAAGTATTTGTTTGTGAATTTAGTTTACCTTCAACAAACATCAAAATTCTGATTTTATATGTTACGTTATTTAAAAAATATAAATGATGTATCCTCTATATGTTACTGACTTACTAATACTGGTATTTTCTTATTAATAACTTCCTCTTTCAATATTGGTAACCAGATCCTACTACATTCTGCCGAGGAATATGCGACACAATTGGCCTCATTTAGCATAATTAGAGCCGCTTCTTTGATTTTTTTTACCATCCGTTTCTTTTAGGACTACATTTGAATTATTCCATTGAACCCTATGTTCATTATCCCATGCGTATTTACAGATTTGAGATCTATGAAATTCTTTATTTTTAATATAAGATTGATGTTCACTTATTCTAACATTTAATGGCCTTGATGATTCACCTAAATAAAACTGATCGCATTCACAATGTATTTTATAAATGCAATTCTTTGTCCTTTCTTGTTAAAAAATAAAAAAAGAAAAATCAAAGAAGCGGCTCTAATTATGCTAAATGAGGCCAATTGTGTCGCAAATTCCTCGGCAGAATGTAGTAGGATCTGGTTACCAATATTGACAGAGGAAGTTATTAATAACAAAACACCAGTAGGTATTAGTAAGTCAGTAACATATAGAGGATACATCATTTATGTTTTTTAAATAACGTGACATATAAAATCAGAATTTTGATGTTTGTTGAAGGTAAACTAAATTCACGAACAAATACTTACAATGTCGGGATAGTATTATGAGGTTTCTTTCCTGGTTTTTCCTCATAATTTACTATGGAATCACTGACAGGAAAATTTTACTGTCATCATGTCATGTGTTTGTCTTTGTAAAAACGAATTACATGCTATGATTTTTTTCTGACGGATATTCTCAAGTTAAAGTTGATTTCATGTAATCGAATGAACTATCTTATAAGTAAAGTCGTCCCAGGAGCGCAACTCAACAACATTGGCAATATCATTTTAAAGTCGTCTACTTTAAAATGCATAATGTATGTCTGAATTGTCAATATAAATGAGTCAGATAAAATTAAATTATTAGAAGAATTTTTCACTATGTAACAAAAAACAAAATTTGTTTAATTTACTGTTTGTATTTTGAGAACGATTTCCGAAGTGGAAATTGAAACGTCAATAAACGTATTTTTATCTTTAATTGTGGCTTATTCCCAGTTTAATAGTAATTAATTTACAAAAGTATTTGGACAGAAACGGCAATTATGTAGAAAACTAGCGTAAGTTTTAAGTTCTAAAATAATAATTACTATTTATGGAAATAAGCCACAATTGAAGGTGAAAATAGGTTAATTGACGTTTCAATTTCCACTTCGGAAATCGTTCGAAAAGTGGAAATTGAAACGTCAATAAACGTACTTTAACGTTTAATTGTGGAATATTCCTATTTAAATAGTAATTACGTTAAAATTCTATAAGAAAATAACTTCAAAGCAATTCTAAAATAATGTATATATGATATTTTATTTATCAGATTAATTTTTAAAGCTAGAGTTTCTATACAGTTCTTTCAGAGCAAAAATGAGAGCTCTTGTGCTCTTCAAAGTTATTTTTCCATTATTTGGGTTATGCTACAAGTATCGTGGATCTAAAAGCTCTGAACTCGTTTTGCTCCCTGTTTTGTTTATCGATGTAATTAATTTCTGTGTGGTAATCTGTATGGCTTTGTCTAAGCCGGTGATGCTCAGTTTTTTAAATTTATTTATACATGGATTGTTTTCTAAGAAAAAAAAACCTTTGAATATTTCATACAAATTTTTTCAAACTCTTCTTTTTTTCGGCTTAACTTCTTTCTTTCTTATAAACATTTGTAATATGAATGTACCAATTGCTATAGTTGTCGGGGCACCAAATTTAAAATACAAATTGTTTATCATAAATTATAAACAAGCTAATGTATGTATTTAATAAATATATAAACACAAATAACTACTTTACTTTTTCTGTTAAAAACACATTTTCAAAATAAAAACAAATTTCGCTAAAATACTGAGACCTTGGATGCGCTTTTATATGATTACTGTTAAAATTTAAACATTCAATAATAGCAAGCAATCAAATAGAAATAGTCAGATTAAGTAAATGGCTAATTTTGCAACTAAATACCCCAAAATGAGGTGCATAAAAATGCAAATGGAAGGAATTTTTCGAGTCATTTAACAAGAAATATTTGTTAAAAAAACTATATAAGACAAGATTGGTAGACATTTATAGACAGTCCAGAATTTTAAAATAATGAAATCGGTGGTGATCTGTACAGTGCTCTGCTTAGCAGTGATATGTTTAGCAGATACGAAATTAGGTGGAAATGAACCTAAAATAGCTATAAAACCTCAGGAAAATGTTAATAAGGAATCAGTTCGACCAAAACGATCTGGTGAGTAGCTAGTAACTTTGTTAATAATTTTATTGTTGTTCTTGCTCTTGGTAAAAGGACATACTCCTAGCAATTACGTTATCATTGACGTTACATAGTATGTAGCTGAGAAAATCTTGTGATCTTCTAAATGGTATTTTCGTCCCCAATTTATGTATTTCTTTTTATAATTTTGAATTGAGTCTTCGGTTTTTGTTATTTTTATAGCTATTTTATATATTCTGGCTGTCTTATTTGGTTTTTGTGTGGTAAATATTTATAAATCTATAGAGGGTTTTAAAATTGTAAATTAATGAAATCGGTGGTGATCTGTACAGTGCTCTGCTTAGCAGTGATATGTTTAGCAGATACGAAATTAGGTGGAAATGAACCTAAAATAGCTATAAAACCTCAGGAAAATGTTAATAAGGAATCAGTTCGACCAAAACGATCTGGTGAGTAGCTAGTAACTTTGTTAATAATTTTATTGTTGTTCTTGCTCTTGGTAAAAGGACATACTCCTAGCAATTACGTTATCATTGACGTTACATAGTATGTAGCTGAGAAAATCTTGTGATCTTCTAAATGGTATTTTCGTCCCCAATTTATGTATTTCTTTTTATAATTTTGAATTGAGTCTTCGGTTTTTGTTATTTTTATAGCTATTTTATATATTCTGGCTGTCTTATTTGGTTTTTGTGTGGTAAATATTTATAAATCTATAGAGGGTTTTAAAATTGTAAATTAATGAAATTGGTGGTGATTTGTATAGTGCTCTGCTTAGCAGTGTTATATTTAGCAGATACGAAATTAGGTGGAAATGAACCTAGAATAGCTATTAAACCCCTTCTTCTTAGAGTGCCGTTTCCCTACGGAGGTTGGCAATCATAATGGCTATTTTTATTTTAGAACTTGCTGCTCTAAACAAATCAATCGATCTGCATTGGTACCAATCACGTAGACTCTTTAACCATGAGTTCTGCCTTCGGCCAACAGATCTTCTTCCTTGAATCTTTCCCTGTATTATCAGTCTCAAAATTTCATATTTTGGTCCCCTCATCACGTGGCCTAGGTATTCCAGTTTTCTGGTTTGTATAGTGGTGATTAGTTCTGTTTCTTTACCAACCCTCTCCAGTACTTCTTTATTTGTAATTCTATCAGTCCATGATATTTTCAATAATCTGCGGTATAACCAGAGTTCGAAGGCCTCGATTCTTTTTAAATTACATTTTTTTAATGTCCAAGTCTCAGCTCCATATAATAATATTGAAAATATATAACAGCGAATGGTACGTAGTCTGATCTCCAAATTTAGATTTTTGCACGTTAGGAGTGGCTTCATTCGTATAAATGCTGATCTGGCAATCTCTATTCGTCTGTTTATTTCTACAGTATGATCATTGGTTTCATTGATCAAAGTTCCCAAATACTGATATTTTTCTACTTGTTCTATCACGTTACCATTTATTGTCAATAGGTGATGTATATTTTGTGGCCTTTTTGTAATCAGCATGTACTTCGTTTTTTTAGCGTTTATAGTAATTCCCATCTCAGCACTATTTATACTCAAGCTTTCGATAAGATGTTGTAGATCCTCTATACTCGTTGCTATGATCACAGTGTCGTCTGCATATCTTAAATTATTAATTAATTTTCCGTTAACGGTGACTCCCGCTTCGATATTATTGAGCGTGTTTTGGAAAATTTCTTCAGAATATAAGTTAAACAAAAGTGGTGATAACACACATCCCTGTCTAACTCCTCTACAGATCCTCATTTCTTCTGAGTGTTGCCCATCAATTTGAACTATGGCACTTTGGTTCCAATATAATGTTTGCACTATATTTATGATTTTACTGTCAATGCGCTTGTTCATAAGTATTGATATTAGTTTTTCATGTCTTACTTTATCGAAAGCTTTTTCGTAGTCAACGAAGCACAAGTGTAGATCAACATTTACATCCCGACATCGCTGAATTAATATGTTGATGGCAAATAGTCCTTCTCGAGTACCCATTCCATTTCGGAACCCGAACTGCGTCTCGCTAATATCCTCCTCTAGCCTTTCGTATATTCTCTTATGTATTATTTTTAGCAGAACTTTTAAAGTATGACTCATGAGGCTCAGTGTTCGATAATCAGAGCACTCTTTTGCTGCTTGTTTTTTAGGGATGGTTATAAATGCTGACTTTAGCCACTCCTGTGGTATTATTCCCGTATCGTACACCGTGTTGAATAAATCTGCCAATACTTCCAAGTTGTCCTCTTCCACTAGTTTTAACAGTTCTACTGGTATTTCATCTAATCCAGCTGCCTTATTGTCTTTAGAGTTTTTGATAGCATATTTGATTTCATCTATCGTGATCTTCTGTATCTCTAAAGGATTTAATTCTTGTATTTTCTGCATTTCACCTCTTTCATCTTGGAAAAGTTCTCTAACGTACTCCTCCCATCGCCTTAACTTCTCTGGTAAATCTACTAGTAGTACTCCTTTTTTGTCTTTTATGTGTCCTTGCTGTCTATTTCGACCCATTCCAGTCACTTCTCTAATTTTTTTGTGCATATTTCTCATATCATATTTTGTTTCTAGTTCTTCTATCTCTTTACATTGCTTCATCAAATAGATTTCCTTAGCTGTTTTGATTTTTTCCTTAATTATTCGTTGTATTTCTTTATACTTCTGTAGATCTTTTCCTTTATATTTCCTTCTTTCTTCCATCAGTAATAGTATTTCTTCTGTCATCCAGTGTTTTTTAGCCTCTGATTTATGTTCTATTAAACTTTCTTGAGCTGGTTTCAGTAATGTGTTTTTTATATTACACCACTTTTTATTTACATCCATAATTTGTTTGTTGTCAGTTAGTGTTTTTTGCATATTAACATTCACATTATTTTTTATTTCGTTTTTTATTTCTTCGTTTTGTAGCATTCTTACGTTAATTTTTGGTTGTTGTTTTCTGAGTTCAATTCTTTTTAATTTTATTTTCACGTCAGCCACTAGCGGATTGTGGTCTGAGTTAACATCTGCTCCAGGATAAGTTTTAACTGAGGTTATAGAGTTTTTATATCTGCTATTTACGAGTATAAAGTCTATCTGGTTTCTGACAATGTGGTTTTCTGTATGTGAAGGAGACGTCCATGTATATAGTCTTCTTTTAGGAAGCTGAAACCAAGTATTGGCAATTACCATATTCTTTTCTTGGCAGAATTCTATGAGCCTTTCTCCTCTCTCGTTTCTAGTTCCTAGTCCGAACTGTCCAACTATATTTTCAACTGTACCTACTCCAATTTTTGCATTAAAATCTCCTAAAATGTAAGTAATATCTCTAGATTTTGTTAACTTGATTGTATTGTGCAATTCTAAATAAAAGTTTTCGATCTCATCTTCGGTCTTATCAGCAGTGGGAGCGTAAACTTGGATCATATTAATATTACAGTTCCGTGCTTGAATTTTTAGCATTATTATTCTTTCTGAGATTTGAATCACACCTAACACTGATTTTTTAATAGTGTTGCTTATGATAAAAGCTACTCCGTATCGATGATCAGTTTTGTCTCCTCCAGTGTAATAAATATTGTGGTTATTTATTGATATCTCTCCATTTCCTGACCACTGTACATCACTAACCCCAAGTATATCTATATTTAGCCTCTTCTTCTCTTTAATAACATTGTGTAGTTTTCCAGGCTGATACATACTTCTTACATTCCAGGTAGCTATTTTTATCTGAGAGGTTTGAGTATTTTTTTTGTGGTATTTTGTGCAAGGGTTTCGCATGTTGACGACCGAGGAGGCCTTGCGTTCTGATGGTTGTCCTCCCCTGCCGGATTTTGGTCTCCGATTACCATAATCAATCATGTTTCTTGCGCAAATAGTGCTAGCCAATATAATTTATACTAGAGATGTCATCAGGGACCTTTAATGTAGTGGTTTCTCGTTGCCTTCTGCATTCTGATGCCGTTGACCACTTTCTTAGTTCTTCCGCCTTCGAGACCAATTTCTCAGTCTCAGGACAACAGAGTGTCCTTCCACTTACTAGCTCATCCGCCCTAAGCCGTTGACCAGTAAATGGTTGATTGCTTATCCCGGCAAACACTCGGACTTCAGAGCCTCATTAGTTATCTAGCAGGATGTACCAGAAGACCATGATCTAGATCATCATACGAGCAGGTGAGGTTGACATTTGAATAGGAGTGGCTATTTGTTGCGCTTCACTACCCCATTACATCCCTATTTTATTAAACCCCAGAAAAATGTTAATAAGGAATCAGTTCGACCAAAACGATCTGGTGAGTAGCTACTAACTTTGTTAATCATTTCATTGTTGTTCTTGCTCTTAGTAAAAGGACATACTCCTAGCAATTACGTTATCATTGACGTTACATAGTATGTAGCAAGAAAAATCTTGTGATCATTCTAAATGGTATTTTCGTCCCCAATTTATGTATTTTTTTTTTATAATTTTGAATTGAGTCTTTAGCTTTTGTTATTTTTGTAGCTATTTTATATATTCTGGCTGTCTTATTTAGTTTTTGTGTGATAAATATTTATAAATCTATACAGGGTATTTCAAAAAGGTATGTCATTAATTAAATTACGCATTCCGTGGACAAAAATACATTGATTGAATCTAACTTACTTAGTAAAAAAGCGTTCACAAAAAAAGTTGAAGACCTTTGAAGTTACAAAATAAACATTGTTTTTTTTTGCATTATCTCTTAAACTACTTGATATTTTGTAATAAAAATGGACACGTTAGTTTTTTTTTTCAAAAATCACTAAAACCCCCAAACTTTTGAGTACGCCCAAATCAAATCAATTTTGTGGCATCATTAGTTTAACAGTTGAATACATTATTTTTTAAAATTTGTTTGCCTCTCATCACTTTTTTCAAAAAAACATTTTTTATAGAGTTTCTGCCCTTTTCATTAACCTTCAAAAAATTACGTGTAACTAAATAAATGGCTTAAATGAATTAACAAGCACAAAAAATGTTTATACCCGCTATAAATATAATATTACAGATATGATTTAGTTTTCCTTGCCTTCACACATTTTCTCTTTTCTGCTTTTGGAAATCCTTTAAACTCATGAGAGGAGATGAAAGAACTTGAATTCGCAGATGATATTGTTGACTTGGAGTTTTGAGACTTTATCGGTTTTTCAGGTGTCCTTGGTGGGGATACTTCTTGATTTTCAGGTGTCTTCGAAAGGGGTGATATAACTTGATTGAAAAGTATACTACACATTTCTGTCGACTCTGGATTTGGCTGTTCAGTTTTATTTAGTCTGTCACTCACAGAACTGCCAATGAAGTCAACTTCAGAAGAAATATCTCTATTAAGGGGAAAAATTCTTGTTTTATTAAAACTTGACAGAATATAAGTAGGAGTTAATGCTTTTATATGTGCCTCTCCTACACATTGTGCTATCTGGTAGATGGAAATAGGTTAACCAGGATGGTTCAGCAACCATTAGCCTATAAAGGCATTGTAATACGTTTTAAAGCAAGAGAAAATTAAAACATCAAGTGGTTGCAGTTTGTTACTACAATGTGAAGGCAGAGTCAGTATGATTACACCATTATCCTTTACCAGTTGAACAATTTGATATGTTACGTGATTCTCATGATTGACGTAGATCAGTATGGAAGGGTTTTCAATTAAACTGTTGCTAAACTTGATGAAATGTTTCATAACGTCGACAAACAGCTCACTATTCATCCATCCACTTGGATTTGCCAAACCCAGTGTGCCAGGTGGAGCTCCTTGGGTCATATGCTCCTTATAATATTTCATTGGAAAACTATAACAGGATGCAAAAACGCACCATTCGCATATACAATTTCACATGAAGTAATAAGAATACCAATTTTACCGCTAGTACAACTATTCAGCTGTTTTACATCTTTCTCCGCCATGACTTTCTTAGGTTTCTGCACTGTTGTATTAGTCTCATCAAGGTTATATATCGTAATATTAGACACAGCTTATGGATATCTAGAATAAACAGCGTGTAAATTGTCGAAGAACTTATTGACATTGTGTGGATTAAATAACGTTAATCTTGATAAACTGCAATCCTCTGATTGACGTATACTGAGGTTCCCACGCCTATTTAAAAAATGAACTCCGTGTTTAACGGCAACAATTCTTGTCCATGATTTTCCGTCCAAAAACATATTGCATGGCACTTGCCATATCATAGAAGCTGAATGTCGATCGACTCCTTGGTTTTTCTTTGCGCACCATGCCTGTAACAAACATAATAAACTTTTATTCTACTTATACAACATATCATTCTAGCATGTAACACTTGGTATAAATTTAAGTAGTACACAATGGGACAGTCTCATTTTGTACTATCACCCGGTGCACCGCGGTGTCTCATTGTGTAAAAAGTAGCATTGTTGTAAACAAATACAAATAATTATATATATATAATATATATATATATATTATATATATTTATATATATTTATATATATTATATATTTATATATATATATATATATATTTATATATATTATATTTATATTATATATATATATATATATATATATATATATATATATCTGTTGCAATACTGCCATAAGTAATAATTAGTAAATTTTATAGGAGAGCAGTTTAAAGTTTTACTGCGCTCAATAAAACAACTTGTATAGAAACTAAAAAACGTATATTGTTTTGATGGATTCGACCGTTACTTGATGGAAATTCATTTTATGTATGTAACAATAAAACACTGAAAACTTTGTTTTCAAACTTCCACAAAATTTATTTTATATCTTATCACTACAGCTGTTTCGGCTGATTGCCTTTCTCAAGTGATCTATTTTTGGCTTGGGATTACAAATTTATAGTCTCTAATGAAATAGGTTGAGGAGGGGAGAACTGTTTGTCTCAAGTCTCAATATAATTCTGAATGACCAACTTGAGACAAACAGTTCTCCCCTCCTCAACCTATTTCATTAGAGACTATAAATTTGTAAACCCAAGCCAAAAATAGATCACTTGAGAAAGGCAATCAGCCGAAACTGCTGTAGTGATAAGATTTAAAATAAATTTTGTGGAAGTTTGAAAACAAAGTTTTCAGTGTTTTATTGTTACGTATATTGTTTTATTTTTGTTGATACATTGCATTTTTTATAATCTTATTGTTACTGTAGAAATACAAAACAAGCAATAACTGATTAAATTAATATAAATTTGAATATTTTAATAATTAAATATGAGATGTGGCAGTCTTGCATCACGGAATGGAGTATGTTTTAGTCTGATGTAACTTCTGCTACGTAACTACTGCTAAAACCGACGACTGCTACATACAAAACTTAAAAAAGTTTCGTTGTACACCAGAATAGATTGTCAAAAAAAAATTACTAATTTTTTTCGCAAAAAGTGAAATAATTGTAAACGTAATATTAATTATAAAAGTATAAAAGTATAAAAATTTATTGATAAAAATTAGTATTATAGAATTATTAGAAACAATTAATTATGTCCAATTAATCTATTTTTTATCTACAGTTCAAGCTTTAAGATTTCAGGCTGTAATAAAAAGAATGGTAGCTCTTTGGTATGACATTGGATTTACAGAGGGAAACTAAACTTTGATTGAAAATGACATTTCCTTACAGTAAGGAAGTCCTGACTTTTTCTTCAAGAAATTTTGACAGGAATATCAAAATTTCCTGGCGATTTGCGGAAAAACACATTACTAAGTAATTCACAAATAATGACAGGAAGTAAAAGATTTTTAAAATTGTTGTTAGGTTAGAAACACTTACATACATTTACACTATTATTACGGCTCCTATATCCATCAGTTTCTTGTAAAACAAGATTTAACATTATTCTTCCTCTTAAATACCCCTCATTTTTTTCTAAAATCAATCTACTTTACTAAAAAATGGGTTATAAAAACACCTAAAAACACTAAAATAAAGTACACGTGCACGCTAACAAAACGGAAATGAGACTGAATACAATCCAAACGACTGGTGCAATACCGCCATAAGTAAAATGTGGCGGTATTGTAGTCGATTAAACTGATATCTCCTTGTGCAATACTGCCGCAATTCATAATGTGGTAGTATTGCAAGTTGTGATTTTAATATTTTTAAAATGTCATAGACACTCTATATTATACTGTGGACATTTATTGAATTTTGATTTGTGGCACTTTTGTACCACATAAATTGACGTTTTTGTAGATGTTCTAGACCAAAAAACCAAAAATTAATTTTTCGGAGTTGTGGCGGTATTGCAACAGAGGTGCGATATATATTATATATATATATATATATATATATATATATATATATATATATATATATATATATATAGTTTTGAGACACGAATATTTGAGGTAAGACTAACTTAACTGTAATATTTCACGCATATACTTGCAAATTGACACAAATCAACAATTAGTTCTAATAATAAGTCAACAAAATATATCAAAAGTAACTTCTTGTCTTAATTAAACAGTTTATCACTGTAACTTTTACGAGTTCACTAATGAAATAGTGGTATTTTGACTGGCGCTGTAAAATGACATTTCTGAGATAATGTTGGTTATAGAATTGAAACTTAATGGTAAATTTCAAAAAAACTAGAATGTCTTATTTGGTACCATGTCTCATTCTATACTACAAGCCCCCTATACAAGCCTTCTGCCATCACTTAAAAGTTATTTTGAAGCCTTTCGAAGTATTTGAATATAATCATGTGATTATGTATATAAATATAATATAATATTATATAAATTCTTGTATTTTTAGGATACTATCCCTATGGCTATAATCCATATGCTGCTGCTTATCCATATTACGGTGCTGGATATCCACAAACAACAGTATTAGTTTCTTCTCCCTATTCATCTTATCCGTATAATCCATATGCCGGTTATGGCTACTCAGGGTATAGTGGTTATGGCTACCCAGGGTATGGTAGTTATGGTTACCCAGGGTATGGTAGTTATGGATACCCAGGATATAGTGGTTATGGATACCCAGCATATAATCCGTATGTATTTATATATAAAATTTATAATTTATTAAAAAGAAAAAGACAGTCAAGGTTTGATTTCACATATAGTGCGACTGTTTATCTGCTTATACGTATTTCGCCCTAATAGGGCTCGTCAGAACAGCTATTCACAGTCGGTCTGAACGTGAAAACAAATATTTTCTGTCCTAGGAAGCAACGTTAACATGGCTTCGTATAGACGCAAATAGCGACATCTGATATTAAAATCCGTAAACTAATTTTCGAAACCAAATTCAGATTTTTGCTTTAATCTGTGCCTTCTTAGAATTGCAAGGCAAAACAGACGTTGATTAAGATGTTATTAGAGACATGAGGAATCTAAAATTTGCATTCCACGACATATCTCCTCAACTAACTGTACGAGTACAAGAAATCAATTCGCTAAGGATTTTTGCTTAGTTGAGGAGACGTGTTGTGGAATGCAATTTTAGATTCCCCATATCTCTAATAACATCTTTATCAACGTATTTTTTTCTTGCAATTCTTAGAAGGCACAGATTAAAGCAATAATTAATTAAAAGTTCGGAAGATGGGGTAAATTTGGAAAATATTTTTTAGTATTATATGATTATTAATGCACAAATCAATAGTTGTATCTGTTTTTTTTAATAATTATCACCAAAACTATATGTAGCCCACGAAAACATAGATAGTAAATCTGTGTAAAGGGATCATTGATCCCTCTACACCAGGGGTGCTCAAACTTGAACTGCTGGCGATCTACCTCAATATTTTTAGACTACTTACGATCGACTCTGAGAGACTGCAAGTGTGTGTGATGCAGGGTTATCGTACATACACGATACACCCTACCTACCTACCTAGGTAGGGCGTACCGTAGCATATATAGATATTAGCTTTCTGCACAATATAGGTACATTATTTTAGTCAAAGTTTGGGTTAGGTTTAGTTAGGTTCTTCTCTACAATATCAATGAAAAAACTCATAGTTATTCAAAATTGCGAGTTTATTTGTTGTTACAAAAGAGAAGAGTTACATATGGTGTTAAATTTATCTAAGGAGTGGCTTTGGATGTTGAAGCGTGGCACTTCATGTTCTCAGCATACTTTTCATAAGATGGTACGTAACCACTGAGTGCTAATCGCAAGCATGATGTCATATGATCGTCAGTTAGTCGATTGCGATATTTTGACTTAATTATCTTCATTTCAGAAAATGCAGACTCGTACAAGTAAGTTGATCCAAAAAAAATGCCGTCAGTTGAAGGGCGATTTGCCTTACATTCGGATATTTATCTTCAGATATAAAACGCCAGAAATTTGTATCAGATACTGTAGCTTTGAGATGTATGTCTGATATAATCTGCACCAACTCATTTTCAACAGAACATAAGTTCATATTAAACTGACTTGCTATTTCAGTAGCTTATTCCTCAATGTTTTTACATGAAAAAGGATAACTCATAAATTATGCTATATTTTCCAATTTACTGCAATCATAAAAACGCATTTTGAATTATCCCAAAATATTTGATAATTCAGCCTCATACGTATCATAATTCAACTCAGGAATCCTTGCTTTCAAAGACGGAAAATGTTTCAGATCCTTTCTTTTCAGTTGATCTATCATAAGTTGCAATTTACTTTTGAATGCGTTTACTGCGCTAATCATCTCAATAATAGTTTTTCCTTTACCTTAAAGCTCCAAGTTAACGGTGTTCAAGTGCATTGTAATGTCAGTCAAAAATGCCAAATCATTTAGCCATTTTTCGATTTTCAAAATCTGAGTGTCATCACCTCTTTCGTCTAGAAAAGCTTTCGTCTAGATATTTCGTGCAATAATTCTTAAAACCTTTCTAGGAATTTTCCGCGACTCAACCACCTGACGTCCGTGTGAAGAACTAAATCAGTGTGTTCAGCTGACTCCCTTTTTTCCAACTGCAACTGAAAGAGCCGCCATTGCAAGCTACGTGCACGGATGGAATTCAAAATTTTTGTTGCAATGCCCATAATTTCCTCCGTGTTTAAAACTTTTAAACACAAAACTTGTTGATGTATAATGCAATGGAATGAAAAAAATGAAGGGAATTCTTCATTAGCTCGACACAATGCCACAAAACCAATTGTGTTTCCAATCATTGCTGGTGCTCCATCGGTTGTAATGCACATTAATTTATATATTGGTAGGTCGTAGTTTTTTACAAAATTTAAGAAAACGTCATATATATCTTCGCCACGGGTCTTCCCCTTCAGAGGAACGATTGTCAAAAATTCTTCCTTAGCCAACATGTCATTGAATACCATCCGAATAAAAATACACATCTGGGCAGTGTCTGTCATATCGATGGATTCGTCGAACTGTAAAGAAAAGTATGTACATTCCATGATATCATGTTTTAGTTTATCTGCAATGTCTTGACTTATGACTTCAATACGCCTTGTGACAGTCGGACGAGATAACTGAAGTTCTTTATAGTAGACATGATTTCTGTTTTATTTTTGAAATCTCCAAATAAAGTCTCACCCGCTTCAATAAATGCTTCCTTCACCACCAATCCATCTTCAAATGGTTTCCTGTGTTTCGCCAAAATATGAGATATTTTAAATGACGCGATCGTAGCAGCTTTTGATTGTTTGGCTGGTCTTGTGAACATGGATTGTTCTTATTTCAAACAAGATATCAAATCACTTACTTTTCGTTTCCTTAATTCACTCTGTGGCGGAAAATCCTTTTCATGGTTTTTATGAACCGTTTTATGATGCCTCTCTAAGTTACCACGCTTAGGTATTGCAACTGACGCACGACAAATAACATAAATGCACTTATCTTTCACCATAGAAAAAAAAAATTCTTCATCCCAATCCTTATTAAAATGATACGTTTTAGATTTCTTCACTGCACTAATTTTCCACTATTTAATAATAAACTTTGTATCGACGTAGGATCGCTATCAAGTTACAATTCAGAATAACTCCAATTCCTGCAGGCACAACATTTATATCGGCGTGAACGAAAGTCTCGAATGTTCTCGTCAAACGCGCCGCCCGAAACTAGACTGTACTGTCTCTCGTCTAGAAACAACACTGCTTTTCTTTGACAAGTGCCGCGCGTTTCTTTGATAATGCCACCTTTTGCCGCAAGCAGTGTTATTTTATTACGTAATACATTTTTGTAGTTGATAGAATATCATCCCAAATTTGATTAATAATTATAATAAATATTGAATTAATAAAATAATTAGTTAATATATGTAAATATAAAATATGCTGTGTGGACAGTATTTTGTTGTCCCCACTTCTTTGAATTGCAATGATGCTTAGTCAAGCATTCTATGTATTTGTATAGTTCAGTATTAATAAAAACGTTTAACACGTTTTTATTAGTAGTAGTTTAGTTACCTACCTACTTATTAAAAATTTTTTTCTTCTCGAGATCTACCCAAAAAGCACTCGCGATCGACCAGTCGATCGCGATCGACCGTTTGAGCACCCCTGCTCTACACCGTACACACATTGTACAAGAATATGATTTTATATTTCTAAATGAAGCAATTTTCATTTGATTTTTATAAAATAAATATCTGTTTAATTTTATTTTGATTTATTTTTGTTTATCATAATAAACTATATAAATATATTTTAGATATTCTTCTGTAACAATTTATGGCTGGTAGGAGAGCAATAAGGTAAGATATATAATTGTTTTAATAAAAAATATTTTAAAATTAAATCACCAAGGTCCCCGTATTTTTAAAATTCATTTTATTATCATATTTTTATAAGTTTATAAGTTTAGCGTAAAAAGTATTATTACTCTGAACTTAGCAGACAGCTAAAAAGTAAAAATTTAAACCAAAAACACAAATAATAGACAAAATTATTAATTTACCACTGCTGACATACAAATCTGAAACAAGGAATATCTTCAAACGGGCTAAAACCATTTTCCTCGTCTTTGAACGAAGATTCCTAAAAGGAGTATTTGATGGTCAAATGTAACACTATAGTACTTTTTAAAAGTGGTAGTTTTCATTGAACTAAAACCTCTTTTACCTAAAAAATGAAAAAGTACTTAAACAGTGTGGTCCTCAACCTTTTTGAGTCATGTACCGTAATATTCCTTTTATAATTTCTGTTGTCGGCATGATCGATATTTCGACAATACTTTTGTTTTACTTTTTTAGTCACCCACTAAAGTTAAAAAAATAAAATAGTATTTTACTTTACGTGATATTTTATGTGGTGCTGATTTTGGCTTTGTTTTAGCATTTTGCATAGCACAGCAAATAATTATATGTATCACCAGTGATGTATATACCACTAGGAGCGCCATAAGAGTCCCATAAGAACCGCTGATTTACATCACTTCTACGAATTCCTTCATTTATGACCCTATCTCTTGACGTGTCTCTGTACCATATGTAAAAAAGCAGGAAACATTGATTAAAAGCCCTTCTTTTAAGCTAATAGCTATATCACCTTTAAAAGTATCGCGCAGTTTTCCATATTCTGCGAATCCTAGAGTTATTCTCCTTAGCAACCCAGCAGTTTGATCACTCCTAATGTTTACCATATGTTCACTTTTTAGGTCGTCTGAAATCGGGACAATGTCATCTGCGAATTGTAAATGACTACATCTCACCATCGATTTTTATTCCTTTATTTTTTCATTCCAGTAATTTCTAAGCATGATTAAGCACAGTAATGAATAACTTAGGTGACATAGTATCTCCTTGTAGAACACCTCTTCTGATATGTATCGTATTGGTGGGACTGTGCAGATTTATAGTTGTCTTTAGAAGTGCGGGTAGTTAGATAGTATTAAACGCTTTATGGAAGTTTAAAAACGTTAGAGATCTGTTGTATTAGATTAATTTTTCAATCAAGACTTTTATGCACTACAGGCGGTAATTTATACCGTAGTTGGAGCAAAAAGCAACCTTTTCTCCTGACTGATACAGTTCAAATTTTTTTTCCAATCGATTGGTTATTATTCTCGTGTACAGTTTGTATAACTATTTGAGTAGAAAAATTGGCCTGTAATTCTTTAGGTTCATGCTGTCACCCTTTTTATGCAGAAGAATTTTAATGGAGTTACTCCAAGTTCCAAGTGACTTTTTAATTCTACAGTAGAGATTAAAGAGGTCTTAGATTTTCTTCAGTAAATATATTTGGATAAGTTTTATAGCTTCTGTAAGTATTCTGTCATCTCTCGGAGCTTTGTTGTTTTTTATGTCTTCATAATGTATCTCATCTTAAGTAATTTCTTAAATATCCTCAGTTCTCTAGTTTTGTACCTTTCGTCTATCGTTTTGATTAACGTTAATATTAATTTGGTTTGTGTATAATATAGTGTAGAACCCTTTTTTATCTCAAAGCTAGAAAATTTCTTCTCTACTTGTCGCCATTTTTCGTCTTATTATCTTTATGTTCCTGTTTTACTTTTTCAAGTTTAAATTTCCTATAATCTGTTCTCGCAGCTTTTCATATGTATTTATTAAGTGCCCTATATTTTAGAGAAATAGAAAGACGAATATAAAACCAACGAAATGGAATTAGAGAAAACCGAATACCTAACAACAGAAAACAAGGATATGAGAAACTTAGAAATAGATGAGGGAAGACAAGTAAATGAAACAGATAAATTCAAGTATTTAGGAACCATAATATCGAACCAGGGAACAACAAAAGAAGATATAAACAACAGACTAAGATAAACAAGAAACTGTATAAGACAACTAAATTCTTTGCTATGGGATAAGAACATTACGATAAAGGCAAAAAAGAGAATATATAATACCCTGACAAGAAGTATCCTTGCATATGGGTCCGAAAACTGGACAATAAACAAGAGAAATAGAGGTAGAATAAGAGCAGTAGAAATGTAGATCCTGAGGAGAAGCTGTAGACATACAAAAGAGACAGAATTGAAAACGCAGAGATTAAGCGGAGAATGGGAGTGCAATCAGACATAATCGACTATATAGAGGAAAAGATACTATCCTGGTACGGCCACGTCAGAAGAGCGGACAGAGGACGATGGATAAACAAAATTACAGAATGGAGGCCGATCGGATGAAGAAAGAGAGAAAGACCCCGAAGGTCATTCAGAGACGAAATCGTCGAGGCTATGGAGAAAAGAACCCTGCGAGATGGAGACTGGAATGACAGAGAAAATTGGAGAAAATGGTTGAGTAAAGAAAGACAGTGAAAATTGTGGAAATCCTTAGTAGTAGTAGTATATTCTAGGGGGATCTAGAAATACGAATAGTTAGACAATGGAGAATGGAAAGTACCTAGAGAGTACCTATTGGTATATCTTCTACTGGTTTGATTACAAAAAACCTCCCAAAAAACATAAAATAGCTGGATCTAAGTGAACACATGATACTCCAACGTACATAGACACCTAGAGTTCGATAACACGAAAAGAGTCCTACCAAAGCTCAATTCTTTTGATACCGTAGATATTTGCAATAAGTAAATTCACAGAAAATTTAACATGTTAATTTCCTCAAAAAAGAAAAAATGTATGGTAATAACAGCAAATTAACTAAGAGGTAAATTGGAGCTGGAAGGTCAGATAACAGAATAAGTGATGGAGTTTGAATATTTAGGCATCACATTATCTAGCTATAAAAATCTCGAATCAGAAGCGAACGATCAATTGAATAGAGCAAACAGAGACACGGGTTGCTTGAATAAAACTTCTTCAGCCTTAAGTAATCCAACTTTGGACATAGGCCTCCCCCAAATCAATTCACTGCAGTGTTTACTATTTAGCGCCACTTGCTTCCAGTTTTCCAGCTGTGTCCTTCGATCTTCTTAATGTCATCTCCCTTTTGTCGCATTTTAGTTTGATTTATCTGATTACAATAATTATGTGGTCAGTTTCTACTGGTTTCCGTCTGTTTAACAAGAATCCTTGCTCTTAAAAGGCAATGATCGCTGCCAATTATGAATCGATTGACAGCAGTTATATCTTCAAAAATGGATCAGCAAAAATTCAAGAATCGATTGATAACAAATAGAGAAGTAAAGACTGCAATAGATGATTCTCCAATAGGAAGACGATCATTGGAAGACCACAAAATGATGGAATGACAACTTACTGGAGGCTCATTAAAAAACATAAAGAGTCATGTCTACATAAAAAGAAAAAATAGAAGAAAAAACTATTAATTTATAAAAATGATGTTATTTAACGTTCATTTGATTTTAGTTTTAAATATTTATATTAGTTACAATTAGCATTGTAAACTATAAAAATTGAAAAAATTAATTTGCTAGTTTAATTTTTAAATTAATTTATTTTATTTAAATTTTAACACCCAAAGTCAAAATTTAACTTCATAATTTGACTCCTAAAGTAAAAATTTAATGGAGTAAAAAACATTCATAATACCTAGTAATCTGTTAAAATTTACAGATTGGAAGGAATGATTGTAATAAAACGTATTTATTTAAACTAATAAAATTATGCGTTTATTACACCACTCTGAGATATTTTTATAACATTTTAGTAACCTTTAAAATACAAATTAAGCGATTTGTCTTAAAAATTACCTATAAATTAATTTTATTTTCGTTGTAGATTTGAAGATAAACCGAATTAACCAATAAACATTGACCTGCCTGACTAAAATATAATAAAACTTTAATATTATAAATTTACATGTACGCTTTTTGTAAATATTGTTAGAATATGTTGTTAATGTGTTACTAATAAACACCAAAAAGTAATATTGGAATTATTTACCAGTCCTCTCCTTTCGCATATACTAAATAAATTTTCCTCAAACTTATTTTTTTTTATTTGAAAACTGCTTCAACTACAAGGGTTATTAGCAATATTCGATTTTACAGATAACATAAATATAAAAAAAATACGATTAGATTTTGTTAATTAGTCCTGAGGAAACAAAAAAGAATAATGGTACGATTGCGGTGACTATGTTCACTTAGAATGTCTTTTATTGCTGTAGGTAGTTATTCATATTGTCTTTCAAATGCGTATAAAGGACACTCCACTAATAAGTGATGTATTGTTAGATCACTATCACACGCGAGTTATAGGAACCGGCCCTGTTCTAGTCATTCACCTAACAATGGTGATCTAGGATTTGTGTTCGAATGAACTTTGTAATAAGATTAGTTTGCATTTTTATATTTACTTATTTATCATTTTACCATTGCATTTTTAACTATATATTTTGTCAGTCTGTTTGTAAACTTGAAGGAAGGAACATCATAGCTTTATATAAAAATTGTCCGATCTTTTTTGAGGTTTTGTAATTTTTAATAAAGTAATTATTTTTTAAAAATAGTTTTGCCTATGAGAAAACTACAAGTCGCGCAGTTAGTACAGATTTTCGGGAAAATCCATCGCGGAAAGTTCTTTGGGTTTCAAACCATCGAGAACCAATATCCCAGTTTTGCCAGTGAACTCCATCGAGGAAGACAGTGTGCCGCACGGATGTAGTAAGTAATTTTTGTGTATGTCAGTATGTCAGTAAGATTTGGGCTAAATTAATAATTTTTGTAAATTAGAGTTAAAAGATAAACTGGCAACACCTATTCTAGATATGAAAACTTTATCAATTATTCCAAACTTTGATAGAAATACTAATAAACTTCACAGATTATTAAATGCAACTGATTCCATTTTAAATCATTATTTTGATAGTCATAAAAATGACATGAGGTTGTTAAGATTGTGACACGAGTTTCCTTTCAAATGTGTTTCTTGCAAACATAGGATGGATGGATGAAATTTATTTATAAAAATTTTAAGATTTATGGGTTTGGTACACATTTAAGTTCCATTAAATAATATAATTAAAAATAGTTTATAGTTTATTTTTATGAACGAGAGAGTAATTAGCATAATTTTAACTGGTACCTTCGACCACTCCATGGGCGTTCTCAAGATTAATTGAAAAATTACTTTGAATAATTGTAAAAAATAAATGAATTATTTCAGTGTTATAAAGTGTTACGTGTATGTAAACAAAAGTGACCTCTTTTATTATATTTATATCTTTTATCTTTTATTATATTATATTAGAACTGACTGGCCTACATTAAAAAGGGTTTTAAAAAATTCACATTTTTTTTAATTTTTAAAAATTACAAAAGAGAAAAAGAGTTTTTAAAACCGTCTAAGGTATGTTAAATAGATGAATAAAAATATTAATTTAAAACTTACAGCTACTTGTTACAAATCCAAATCAGATTCAGAAGATGAACTTTCAGAACCAAGATTTATATTAACTGGCTCGATCATTTTATCAGTAATATTGTCCAGCTTCCACATTTTTTCCTCTTCTTTAACAGTGTGATTTACTGCCTTTTCCCAGTTTTCAGGTTTTACATTATTTACGGCCTCCAAAAACAACTGTTTAACATCATGAATTTTAAAAGTGGTATTTTTTCTTGAAACTTCACTCTTTATCTGTGCCCATACCAGTTCAATCGGGTTTAATTCACAATGATATGGTGGGGATCTAAGTACTGTCATTCCACGATTTTTGGCAATTTCATCAATTTCGTATTTTTTAAATTTTTCTTTATGAAGGGCACACAACGAATAAAGTTCCTTTCTTATAGATCCGGGATGGTACGTAATATTTTTTGAACTCAGCCAATTCTGCAAGTCTTTTTTTAACCACTTGGTTGTGGGCAGTCATTCTATAAGTCTGGAGTGATAACTTGCATTATCCATTACTATTACACAGTTCTTAGGAAGAAGATCTATCATTTGTTCGAACCATTCTTGAAAGACATCAGCGGTCATGTCTTCATGGTAGTCACCGGTACGAGTTGATTCAAAAGTTAATAAACCACCTTCAACAAAACCGTCTGAACTGCCAATGTGTACTATTATCAGCCTGCGTCCCTTTCCTGATGGTGGGTTTAAACCAGTAGATAAGTTATTTACAAAAGCGTGCCTTTGACTTGTAACAGTTTTATCCTGCCAAAATTTATTTGGTGTATGACCCTCGTTGATTCATGTTTCATCAAGATAAAATATTTTTGTTTTTTGGTTTCTCATTTCCTTTATGGTTCTTAGAAAATGTCTTCTCCATATGACAATATCGCTTCTTTCTAATAAAATAGACTTTCTGGGATTCTTTTTCCAGCGGAAGCCTATTTCTTTTAAAAGTTTCCATAACGTACTTCGACTCATTTCTGGGTAATCCTTATCATCTCGAGCTGAGACAAGAACTTTATCCAATGTTGGAAATTCTTGTGTAAAGAAGAATTCATGTACTTTCCGTCGAAGACCTTCTTTAAAATGATATTCTATTTGAAATTTTGGTTTTCCTGGAGCATTACGTGGCATTTGAAAACTACCACATTTCTCTTCTTTAATAACTCTGTAAATCGTAGATTTCCCAACACCATGTGTACTGCTAACTAACTCAACGGTCTCATCAACAATTTCACATAAACGTTTGTCTGTAAATGATTTAAAACAATTAAATATTAATGTTTTTTCATTAACTGTTAAAGGACCAATTTTTCGGCGTTTACACGGCACTTCCAACCATAACACTAGTATACACAATAAACTGCACCTTGCAACTGAAGTACCTACTTTTAGTGAACTGTTAAGAATTTTGAATACGTCACTTGGACCTTTCTACAAAATGGAAAAACCCACTATCACATTTTCTGTGGAATAAGTTTAGAAGGTAATTATCTAGTCAATTACTGTCGTAGATTCCTGGAATTAAAGAATTAAATGTTTGATTGTTGAAACCCTTACTTCGTGGAATGCACTCATTTCAGATAAAATAAAACGTTTTATTTTATCTAAATAATTAAACTTTATTTTGCAAATAGGTAGGTACTTATTAAACTTTTATTGGTTATATATAACCAATAAAATAAACATCTTACATTTCTTGCAAATTCATTAGTACCTGTTAACCTCCATCACTCCGACACTGGCAACCTTATTTAGAGATTAGTAACCCTCACAAGTATTGTATTCTATTCTGCTCCAACCTTTATACCTGGTGGTCATACTCAATTTAAAATTGTTTTCCTATATACTTCTGTAAACTTGTTGACAAATATCTGTTTTTCATTGAGTCACCCGTATCAACAGTTTAGGGATTTGCATACATAATTTATTGTTTTATTACTCTCTCATACATAAAAATACACTATAGTTAATAAGTCTCCGGAGAGGTATCGCTAGGATCAGTGGTAGAACTATTACTTAAAACTTGTTCTGTAATTTTGTTTTTAATTCTAGAACAACGGGATTTAAGATATCTTGGACTTCAAATAGGATGTATTTTCTTTAGAAAATCTATCAATCCTTCGATAAACCTCCGAGTGAGTTTTGGCGACACTAAAGGATCTGAAGAACCATGCGCATTTTCAAAGAAGTCAATAACTTCTTCCTGTGTTAAGTATCTATTGTTGGAGAATTGACTGGTGCATTTGGTAAGATCTTCTACTAAATTTTTGTTGTTCTCTTGTTGAGCTTTTGGTTTTTTGCTTCGTGGTTTCGGTTCAGCGAAGGCATTTTTGTTATCTCTTATTGGGGGGATAATATTTCAGATAGATTTTGTTTAGGGTGCTGAAATAAGGATGTGTCGTAGCTTATCGAAGTATGCTTATTTGATTGAGAAGTAATGAATTTTCTAGATGTTTGAGCCTCAGTAAGAGAGGATTGTGTAGAGGAATTTATCGACAAAGAAGCTGGCTGTTGCACTGTAGTTTTAGTCTCAGTAGAAGAGGATTGAGTAAAAGAAAGCGGAGGTGATTGGTGTACTTCTTGAGATGCAAAATGTCCTTGCTGCTGTCGTAAGTAGCAAGATTGCTTTTCGATGAAAAAGAAAATTCGATAGTTGTTATTCTCATGGATAACATGAGGAAACAACAATTACATATAATCAGGTAATTTATCTAAGCTAGTTGTAAAAATAAAAGTGTATCGTCGGAAACTCAAGATATGCTTTCATGCTGGATTTGAAGTCCCTATCCTGAGAAAGTCAATTGGAGTTATTAGATGTATCCTTAAATTTTTCAGTTGTTCTTCTATAATATGTGGAATACTTGGACATACGTTGGAAATAATCAATCGTTCATTTGGAGTTATATTAGTCTTTGGGCTTGAATACGTTCTTGAATAGTTACTACAATTTCATTGTCGTTTGTTAGAAAATCATCGACTATCTGTTCACTTGTGAAGAGACAAATACAATCATTTATAATTTTAGAAAAAGAATTTTTTTTCTGAAATCCACTTTAGAAGTTAATGCATTAAGGTAAACTTTAATATTAGAGTTTTAGAGTGAGTGGAGTAGAATTGCTTGTTTTTTGTTTGAACATTTATTTGTAGGTCGATAAAGAGCTGTAGAATATAATTTTGATGGTTGGTTTACAAGTAGGTTGCCAGAACTTTTCATGTTGGAAGTTCCCGCTACTGAATCCATTTTCATGCTTGGGCTAAACAACCTGAATACGGCCCTGGTACATATAATGGATCATTACCGGAAGGACTAGTAATTAACCTCCCGCCAAATCGACAAACTAGTTGTTTATCCTTGATTTGTTATAGATTAAGTAGGAAAATCAAACTTACAGTTTTTAGCCA